CAGCAAAATCTATTGACTACTTCTATTCTGTTTGAAAGTTCAGCGCCTAAGTCAATGAATGAGTCACATCTATCTACGAGTTATGAATGCAGGTGGTAATAATAATGATGATGATAATAATAATAATAATAATAATGACCATACTGCATCACAATAATGATTCAATACAACTCAAATGCACAAGAAGAAAAAAACACAAGTTGGTTGACATAATATATACACATATCTAGGTAAATTACATTTGAGAACACCCCTATAAACTATAAACCAAAGATAACCATGGAAACGACGGTAAATAATACTGCAAGGTTAACCTATGAAATTGACTACTCATTTCTTGTGAATGGATTAAACATTAGAGGCATGAAGGTTTCTTACCAAGATTGTATTATGCATAATATCGTAGACTTAAAGAAATAGAGAAATATAGTAGTAGTAAGAAGAAGAAGAAGAAGGATTAAAGACTATTTTTGAGAGGTATTAGCCTTGAATGATATCATAAAACGTGAGATGCATATTCATTTATTCAAGTGAAATTAGTTAATTAATTTTCAAGAGTTTCAAGAAACTACAGGACGAAGACGTCAGAGACTACACCACGTTGAAAACATCGGTTCCCATCCGACCACCGAAGTTAAGTAAAGTTGGGTCAAGTTAGTATTTGCATGAGTGACCGGCTGAGAGTACCGGGTGTTGCCGGCATTTCGGGTCTCAGTGACTGTATGGTCTATGAGCTCGTCTTGTGGCCGGAAGGTTCTGGGTTCAACCCCCCCCTCCCGTTGGACGCATACTGATAGGGAGTCCCAGATTAGGACGATACAACTGTTCAGTACTCTCTGGTTTTCTGGTGAGAAGTAGTGACTAATAGGGCCCACCAAATTAGTTGGGTGTGAAAAAAGTACTCCCCCCCAGTGACACTAGCTGCTGGTGGTTGTGCTGTATATCGCGAGTTAACAAAAACTGGAATCCACAGGTCACTGAACTCCATTCCAATTAACTGGATGATCAGCGAGCTTGGCCTTGTAACCTGAAAAACCTGGGTTCAATTCCTAACTGTAGGTTCATGGGCACCTACTACTAAAGAGTCACAAGCTAGCGCAAAACAGCTATTCAGTTGTAGTACGCCCTGGTTTTCAATGGTTCCCTAACTGATATCAGTCTGCTCAACATGTACATGTAAAAAATCAGAGTAATGAGAGAAACACTGAAGTAAATGAGAAACAGAACAGAGATCAGAAACAGTAATAATAAACTAATAGAAGTTTCGAAGATGATCAATAATGAGTTTATTTACGCTATTGTTGTGCGTCGGTGGCACAGAGGTTAGGACTCTCGCCGACCATGCAAATGGTCCGGGGTTCGATCTCCGGCCACAGGACGTACTCTTTTACCTCGCTAAGCCAGAAATAATGCTGGTAAAGAGGAATGGTTGGGCATGAGGCTAGCGACCCCATCCTGTAAAATTAAACACTGCTACAGAAACTTCAAGCCAATAGTTTGAGGCCCTATGTTCCACTGGGAACGTGAAGGAAAAAAAGAAAAAAAAACGCTATTGTAGTCAACTTGGATTTGTTTTACATATGATCTCTAAAAGTTGATTTCAATCAGGTAGTCTGTACTTTAAAATACAGTTGAGATCAACAGGCAACCCCTCCCCAAGGGCTAGAGATGAGCTGTGGTCTAATTATTTAAAGATGCCATTGAAAGTGAATTAACACGACTTCAAATGCAGCTGATAAGCTTATCTACTTACTAACTTTTCATTTTCAAATTGAATTTCTTCCTGGAACCTCCGTTTTGTTTTTATTCATGGTGGTTCCAATAAATATAAACAAATTACGAAGAAAATTATCACAGTATAGTTGACTACCTAATGTTATCCATAACCATCAAGTTCAACAGAGATATTTTATTGACAGTCAGATATTCGCGAAAAAAATTTCGAGCTACGAGAATATGACTTTTTGTCGACTAGTTCCTTGATATATGGGGAAAGCTTCCATTCTTAGATTTACGTCACAAACCAGTTGGGAGCACTGGACAACTGTTTCATCCCATTTTGGGACTCTCCAAGCGTGCAAACACGCTACACCACAAGGGATTGAAAAACCGCGACTTTCAGGTTGCGAGACCAAGCTCGCTGACCATTCAGCTCCATGAGAACTAACTATGTCAACTCGCGGTGTAGTACTGCCCTCACCAATGACTGAATATCAATCGCTAGCTCGCTCATTGATGGCTACTAAATAGATATCCTGAAGGTGTAGTGGGAAGTCATGCATGACCAGTGTGATCCACCATGTCAGAATGAAGTAGATGCAAATCGAAGGGATTGGTGAGGGCAGCACTATATCACAAGTTGACAGAGTTACATCTTCAAAAGAATGGATAATAAATAATACTCTTTTCGATAACTTCATCATCGGTTCTACAGTTATATATATACATAATAGTGAATGAATGAATTAGTGTTATGAATAACATTAATGTTGTTTAAATAACGTCGAATCAATAATATTCATAGATTACAGCTCAATAGCACCAAACATAACAATAAACTGAATGTCAGAAAAATTAGGAAAGATAATATTACAAATTTATGAATTTATAGTCTCTACTGAATGCCGGTCAGGGCAGTAGTAGTGGCTGGACTCGCTTCTTTTGAACACAAAGCACTGGTTGTTTCACGCGAATTGCGATAGCCTCTGGTGTTTGGAGCATGCAGTGCTTCGATGTTTTTGGTAATTTATTTGGTACCCAGTAGACGATAGAGAAGGATTCTTCAATGCTGGCTTTGTGGCCGGCCGGTTTGAACCAGATGGTACAATATCGAACTGTTGATGGTTTTTACTGCACCTTTACTTGGCCATACTGGGAGATGTTCTTGAGCACGAAAAATGAAGCACATGAAGCAACGGCCAATAAAACTCGCTCCACAAGCGCAGTTGAATTGGTAGATACAACTGGAATTGGCTAGTCTATGTACTTCATCTTTCAATCAAGGAATCACCATCGGTCGTGTAGAGAATAAGACGTGTAGTTCTCCAGCATTAAAAGTTCTTTGAACTTATTTTCTGAATCTCTTTGTAATTATTTCACTTGGTATATCGACCTTGAATTGCAGTAAAGGGGCTTCTTCTACGGATAGTGAGTAGTCCTTTTCCGCTTTCTTTGTTATGTGTTTCTTGATAAATTCATCAGGATAGATATTTTCAATCAAAGTATCATATACAATGCTTAATTCATCTTCAATTATTTCTTCTGAGCATATAGCTCTAACCCTGTAGCTGAGGGTCTTTACTAAATTCTTTTGCACTGGAGAGGAACGAAGCTGTGAAAATGTGTACATTGTCCTGTCCAAGTACTTTTCCTATGCACATTTCATTTCATGCTACTATCTGGTTTTCTAGTAAGGAGGATATCCAGGAAGGCAATTCTGTTTTGGAATTCCTCTTCTCACGTGAATTTCATAACAGAATGTACTTCATTGAATTCAGTTATTATTGTGTTCCTATCCAAATCGTCATCACAAAGAATAAAGGCGTCATCCATATACCGTCAATAAAATGGGAAATTTCTGATAAGGTTGTTCAAAGGTCCAATGGTTATCTAACTGATGTCAGCTCATGACGAAATTCTCCAACCAATCACACGAAATCCCTACAAAACCAATACTTGAAAGTTACATTTCATGCGTCACTGAATTCTAGCCCAAATGGCTGAATAGTCCACGGGCTTGGTCTTGGAACGTGAAGGTCCCACGTTCGATCCCGCGGGGATCTTAGGTGCGCGCACTGTTGAAAAGTCCCAAAAGCTAGGCCGAAACAGCTGTCCAGTTCTCCCAACTGGTGCCCAATGATCTCTCCGATTAATATTGCTTCGTAACGGAAATCTAACAGTTCGGATTAATCCAAAACCTCCACAGATCATACAGTCTTTCACAATCACAGGTCAAGTAGGTTATACATTTTATTTTTACATTAGATAAATTCATTTGATATTATAAAACACAGTGACACAGGATCGAATAACTGGATGACGTCTCGAGAACAATTTTTATTGCTCATAACTATATCTATGTATTCACAAGACTTGATGATTTGCTTTATACACTATTACTCACTGAGGTTTTCTATTGCAATGTAGCCATCATAATGGAGTATAGGCATTGTGTCATTTCAGTTACACGTCGTAATTGGTGTTGACTCCGAGAATTAGCCTCTCTCTCTCACTCGACCTAACTCTATTACTTTTATACTATCCCAATTTATTGTGTGGCGGCTAGTTTCAAGTGAACGCATTACAATGGCCAAGCTCTTTTTCCAGATTCCCCTAATTAATCAATCTATCAGGGTCAATTATTCTAGTTTTGGCTAAATTCTTATGTTTCGATAATCTAATTGACCTAAATTTACTAGTTTGACCTATATAATTGATCTCATTACATGGTATATTTGGTAAATTATATTACTTTTCCTAATTGGATTTATCACGTCCCTTAACTGACAAAATTTATCATCTCAAAATGACTCAAGAAATCAGCACTAAACGTGTGCAGTCGAAGTAATGCAACACCTAACCCGGACACGATGAAAATTGTAATAATGAGGAAAACAGATGGGAGTAGAGCTATATAAAGCAAGTTATCAGGTTGTATGAATACATCGATATGATTATGAGGAATAAATTGTGTTCAAAACGTCATGAAGTTATTTGATTAAGAAATGTTATGTCACTCACGGTGACATTTTTAAATAGCTGTCACTGTCTACTTAAATATATATTTAAGTAACTCGATGAGAATCTAAGAAAAAGTTTAGTTGGTTTACAGAAGCAGCGAATACAGTACCTGATTCTTCAATAATTTTTTTTGAATGAAAACGTAGTCCTTTATTTAAGAATGCATAAAAGCACCATAAAATTCAGACATTAACTTACTTATTCAGTGAAACCACAATGAAAAACTGTAATATTCAGTGAGAAAAATTGTAGCCACTTACAGTCTTTCTGTAAATCCTGGAAAGCATGCATTACCTCCCATTACCATGAAATTTGCCCAAGCTCCTGGTCTAACTGCAGCCGGTAGTCGTTCACACATTATATGCTGAATAGCTTCAGTTAGACCCATCTCTTTATAGCCGACATCAGAAGGGTGGAAAAGTAATTCTGGGACAGTGAAACGTTCATTATTCAGACGTAAAATATATCCTTGTTGAGCTAGGCTTAAAGCCCGTTGGTCTAGCTTATCACTTCCACCAGTTTTCGCGGCTTCAGTATTCGGATCACGAACATATCCTCTGTGCACATCTACATAGTTGGGTAATACATATTCTCTTAATATGCTGTTTGATTTTGGTTTCGACCTACTGAAAAGAAAGTATGTATACATACAACAGTTAGTACAAGTTGAAAACGGCAATCACACACACACACACTCTTGAACATTTCAACAACATACATTGCAACTGATGCAGTACCATACGTTTATATGTCTATAAAACTTTTTTGTTAAAGTTGGATTTGAGGGGAGATTTCGTCATGAGTCAACATCAATTAGACAACCAGTGAAAACTATGGAGTACTGAATAGCTGTTTCGCCCTAGTTCTATGCTCTTCAAAAGTGCATACCCAAGACGAAACCAACGGTCGAATCCATCACCTTCCGCTCATAAAGCAAATATGTTACATCATTCAGATATTGGATAGAGAGTCATGGCTGATAATTTCTAACTCCTGCTAGTTCTCCATTTAGTGCCACCACCATCCATCCACTGTTATCTATCCTTACATTTCACTTGGTGAACTTCACCAATTATAGCTTCTTATTAGAACACTCCAGAGAGTTCATCCTATGGTCTGTCAATGGTTCTCTTCATCTGAATTTGGTTCATAACAAAATCTGTCTTGTGAATATTCTCTAGTGCTGGTTCTCAGGGACTTGATTGGTTAGAGGTTTGATTACGAGCTGGTATTAATCACACAACCACTGGAAAGCCAGGAAGTATCGGAAAACTGTTTCGTTTCAGCATTACGCATCTCCTCCTAGGCTTCAACCAACAACCTTCAGGTTACAAGACGAACTTGTAGACCAATCAGCTATCAGTACCCGGTAAAATGGACCACAAATACCAACTTCTGATGCTCTCTAGTGACTGGCTCTACACAGGAAGTTACCTGGAGTTCAAGTTACCTGAAGTTGTGATTTGCGGAGTTCACTAAGTCTGGTAAGACGACAGTTACTTACTCATGAAATTGGTTGGTTGGCGGTTACGCTAAATATCGTGAATTGGCAGAATTTGGAATTCATGGGCCTGTCATTGGATCGGGTCCCAGTGTCTGAATGATCTACGACCTCGCCTTGTAACTAACTGGAAGGTTGTGAGTCCGACCCCTAGTGAGTAGGTACTGATAAGGAGGTCCAGACCAGGGCGAAACAACTCTCCGGCACTCCTTGGTTTTCCAACGATTATCTAACTAATGTCAACTTGCGAACAAACTTGTAAATAATTTCTGCTCACTAATAACGACAATAATCATCATCATAATAATACGTAATTCTTTATGAGAATCAGTCAAAGATTAAGGTTAAGCAATAACAGATGGTTTCAACTAACTGAGACCTTCTGAGATGACGAGCTCGGTTGCAGAACACGTTAAAAGATCGTCGTGTATTTAGATTATTTCATTCTAGTCAGAAAGAGAGCTATAAGGTTGGACATGAGTAGTTTTCAACTGCTCATATCATTCATGAAGTATACCGAATTGTGCATGAGGAAAAAACAGTGCCTTGTTCCGCAAAGAAATATTTCACTTGTTAGATTTCGTAACGAACTAACACATCAGTTGGAAAAATCACTGGAAACCAAGGAACGCTGGACACCTGCTTCTCCTTACCCTAGGACTCTCTTCAGAAGTGTACACTCACGATCCTACCACCAAAGATCGAACCCTGAACCTTCCTTCAGGTTACCCGACCAAGCAAGTTCGCTGACCATTCATGCAGCCACTTGACCTAGAGTTCATTGGTCCGTGAATTCTAATTTTGTCAATTTCTGATGTAGCACTACTCTCATCGGTGCCTTCGATGAACATCTCCTTCACCCAACTTCTCACTACAGCTTCAAGACATCCATTCATCCAGTACCCATCAAACAAAGAGCTGGAGATTAATATTGAGAATTTGTGGGGATTTGGATTAATGTCGATGGTTAGATTTCATCACGAACCGACATCATTTAGAGATGACTTCATTTTTAAGTAGTAGCTGTACAGTCGTATTTATATTACGGAAAAGAAGGCATCAAGTGGCACCGAAGACTGCTCAGTCAATACAGATATATGATAAGAATAAAGATAGTTAATACTGATATTTAAGGTGGGTAGATTTGAAGTGAATGAATTACAATGAAACAGTATTATTTACTGGATGACACAGTTTCGAACAGAATTTATTGTGGTTCATAATCATTTCATCAATTGTAATCATACGACTTTGAAACTTGAGTTTTATAGTTTTCTTTGTCCTCTCCTATTCGTCATACGGGTAGTAGAATTTTCCATATACCAGAGACAGGTGATGAATCATTCCTATTACATGTATTTGCAGTTGATTCGATAAACAAAGCAGTATTTAAATTCCAAGGGAAAATATACAAACAAACTGAGGGAGTTGCCGTGGGATCACTAATATCCCCGGTTGTAGCAGATATATTCATGGATAGGTGGGAAAAGATAGCGATTGAAACGTTCACCCCCACCCCAAAAGTATGGTGGAGGTATGTAGATGACACATTCACTGTACTTAGAACACAAGACATAGATAGATTTTTCGAACACATCAACTCGAAGGTAGAGGCAATTCAATTCACTTATGAATTGGAAAGTCAGGAAGGGGAACTTCCAATGTTAGATTGCAACGTAAAAAGGAAAGAAGATGGGAAGTTAAACACTAGTGTGTGTTTATAGGAAACCCACACATTCAAACAGATATTTGGATTTCCTATCATCCCATCCTATGTCAGTAAAAATGGGATTGGTGAAATGTTTAAGTGACAGAGCACAAAAACTAAGTAGTACTTAGGAAAATCTAAGACAAGAAGTGATACACATAAAAAAAGCCTTGAAAGTTAATAATTACCCGGATAAATTAGTCAAGAAATATGTAAGGAAATCTAAGAATAAAATAAATAATGATAGTAGCGATAGTGATGATAATAATAATATCAATGATACCGATAATAATGATAATAATAATAATAATAGTAATATTAATGACGACACCAACAATAAGGAATCTAAATCATCAACAGTAATTCCATACAAAGAAGGAACCTCGGAAACCTTACACAGAATTCTTAACAAGGCAGGAATAAAAGTGACTGGCATTTAAACTACCCACAAACTCAATTAGAAACAGGCTTTGTCGGTTAAAGGATCCAGACAGTGAAGCCAATAAAACAAACCAATTTAGTTTATCTAATACCCTGCTTGAATGATTGTCAGGTCAAATACATAGGTCAAACTAGTAGAACAGGGGCAGTCAGACTAGCTGAACATAAAAGCTTAGCAAAATCTAGATTGATTGACCCGAATAAGATAAGAAATCTAAGTAATAGTTCAGTCATAGCACTCACTACATGCAATTACACACAACCATACAATAGGATGGAGGGGATAGGATGACAGTTTTAAAATCTAATGTCACAGGGTGGAGGGATAGATTGATAACAGAAGCTTTGTTTATGGAATCAACTGCAAATACATGTAATAGAAATGATTCAGCACCTGTCCCGGCAGATATCTGGAAAATTCTACTACCCGAACGACGACAAATAGGAGAGGACAAAGAAAACTATAAAACTCAAGTTTCAAAGTCGTGTGATTACAATTGATGAAAGGATTATGAACCACAATAAATTTTGTTCGAAACCTTGTCATCCAGTAAATAATACTGTTTCACTCACTGTGTGATACATCTAATAAACAAACTAATATGGAATAAATGGGGTAGTGTTCAGCCGTGCGTTCCCAGAGAACACCCTTACAACGTCCAGTAGAATAAGCTACACAGGATCACATAAAAAAGTAAGTGCACACAGTCAGTTAATACTATACACTATACCATGCAAGTCCGTTTTTTTTCTTGATTGCCATTGAAGGGATTAATCTGACACAATTTTCTTTATATATATATATACATTTATTGAAGAAATACTTCAACAGTTATTCGAGTATGAAAATATTTCCCATTTTCAATATAGCCTGGGAATACAGTGGCAAAGACGTTTAGTAATCTACGACCAAATGTCATTTATTACAGCTGGTCAATTATCCCACTTCCATTCGAATAAACTGCCTACCTACGTCAGCCCCCATAAATGACCAAGGACCACCGAGGGTGGGTAGGCAGTTTGGTTTGCCTCACGAAATACTCTCCCATGTAACCAGGCGTACATAGTCTCCTTCCCCAAGATAAACACTATTTACTGGCTTCACGAGATGGGCGGGGGTGTTCTTCACAAACGTGAAAGGGCGAATGAGAACGTCTGACGCTAACAACCGGATTGGTGGACATGCAAGAGTCTACCACCAAGGGTAACTTGTAGAAAACCTTGATTACTCCAAACCTATGGTGTACATGGACTGTGCGTCGGTGGCACAGTGGTTAGGACTCTCGCCGACCATGCACATGATCCGAGGATCGATGCCCTGCCGACGAACACCTGATATCTATGGTCGGCCAGCAAAATTTGGGCTACCGATATCCATGCTGAAAATTCCATATCTGTACCAAAAATACGGTGTGGAATCAAGCTGTAATATAAAAAAATCCAAAAAAACCCGGTTCAAATGGTATATTAACCTGTTTTGATCACTAGAAACTTTGGGAAAGCAGCTCCTGACTCTGCTGCTCCACTGTTATGTGGATCAGACTTCAAGCCAAAGGCTCCGGGGTAGGGGGTCAGGCGGGAGAAGGTAGCTCCTTGAGAAAACCATCTACTGCGACCTGAGCGTCTGAGAAGTATCCCAGCCCTTGCACATTTCTTGGTGCTCTCATAATGTACTAAGTTTGTGTTCTGATAAATAAGTAAATAATAGAGCCTACGCACTCCAGTGAACTGTATCACCACGAGGAAGTCTTGGCTTACAACCACGCTTTAATCGTTTATTATTTCAGTAAGGAAAGAAACCATACAGTAGTGTTACACAAAACAAAAAGTCTTTGTCCATCCACTCACCTAGAAATATTCATATCTTTCCAAAAATCAACTGATACGTAGCATGTATCTTCTTTGCATTGATTCATAATGTATATTTCACTGCGTACATCTAAGTGCCTATAAGGAAATAATGTTTAAGTTTAAGAAATTAGCAACACACCCGCCTACCGATAAGATACAGCTTCAATTAAACGATTTGTGAGTATTTTCCCGCCTACTGTTAACCTTGAATAGATGAAGAAAGAAAAGGAATCCTTCTTACAGAAGAAAACAAGATCTACCTACCTCATGACAAATTCTTTCATTACAAGTCCGTCAGCCATTGGTACAATATGCGTAAATGAATAGCCAGAGTCAATCACCATACAATATCTTGATAAACGTTGAGCTGACTCGATTCGATACTTGTATGCACTTAAAAATGCAGCTGCATAATAATAATGATAATAATAAAGATAAATCAGTTAGGTTAAAACAACACAACCTACGATTAGTACGCATTAGACCAGCAACTTGATAGTCTTCAAAGAACACCTCATTCATAGCTTCTTTAGTTGATGAAAAATTGAAATATGGTTCTGTAACGATTAGATTATGATCAGATAATGAGAAGTTCTGTTTTAAGAAGAAAAGAAAACAAAGAGAGAAAGAAAGAATGAAAGATCAGCTGGTTAGTTAGTTAGGTAGATGTTGTAGGATTTCATCATGAGTTGACATCGGTTAGAGTAGCATTGGAAAACAACCTGGGAGTACTGGGCAGCCAGCTATTTCGTCAGCCTAGTTTGGGACTCTTCAGAAGCACGCACGCACCCACCGACAGGGTTCGAACCCAGGACCTTCTGGTTGCAAGGCGAGCTAGCTCGTAGACCATTAAGCAGCCACTGGGACCCGATCCAATGACCGGCCCATGAATTCCAACTTCTGCCAATTTACGATATAGCGCGACCACTAGCCGATGTCAGCTCATGATGAAATCTTCTAACCAATCAGTCGAATACCTCTAGACCAATGCTTGAAAAAAAGATGTTACTTACCGAGTTTGTTTTAAACACGCTTTTAAAAGCTGTATCCAAAATTTGACTTTGAACCTCCCAATTATTAATGTAACCCTAAAGAAGGTGAAAAATATACATAAATATATTCAGTAAATAAATAACTTCTATTCATGTTATTTTGTTCCATGCGTCCGTGGCACAGCGGTTAGGACGCTCGCTGACCATGCACATGGTCCGGGGTTCTCTCCCCGGCCGACACACTCCTTTACTTTGCTAAGCCAGAAATAATGCTGGTAAAGGGGAAAGGTTGGGCATGAGGCTAGCAACCTCATCCTGCAAAAATGAACACTGGCCACAGAAACTTCAAGCCTGTAGCTTGAAGCCCTATGTTCCACTGGGAACGTGAAGGAATAAAAAACAAATTTATGTGATTTTGTTCTAATTAATTAGTTGACAAAGAAGAAGGAGAAGAATAACATCAGACGTTAGGCTCTTTGCCGCTAAGTGTTTATCGCAATTTAACTGACTGATTGGTTTCAATATAGAGCTTGGCACAGAAGTGTACCAGTTCAATTTGCCATATTTTATGTATTACACAGGGGAAGACAAAAGATATAAGCATAAATGTGAGGGGGAAGGAATAGTAACATGGAGATACACTAAAGTTTAATGGATAATGGTAGGTGACAAAGAGTGAATGAATGTAATCCACTGAGAATGATTTTGAGCCATATCACCAATTGTCTCCAGCTATTGATTCTCAGCATCCTGATGACCTTAACCAGAAAGCCTACACCTCCCTACGCGGCTGAAACTAAATAACTCTTTCCTTTCGAAACTAATCCTATGTCAGTTAACATTACTTGTCGAGGAAGGCGATGGCTAAGACATGTGTTACAGATGCCTAGGTGAACTATGTACTGAAAATTCAAGTCCACTGAAATATGCAGTTCAACAGAGTGGAAATGGACTTTACCAACCAAGTTTAAGCAAATAATCATTGCGAAAGACTTTGTCTTTTCTAAGTTTGATCAAGGATTGATATCAGTTAGTGAGATAACCTTTGAAAACAAAAAGGGAATACTAGACAGCTATTTTGTCCTAGTATGTGACTTTTCACATATACACACACATGATCCCATCGGTAGGGACTAAAACCTAGGACCTGGAACGGAATCCAGTGACTAGCCCATCAATTCTAACTTCTATCAAATAATTTTACTTCTCTCTCACTTCCAAGATTTTCAATACTTTAAATTTCCGGAGTTATCAGTTTGTTTTTAGCTGACAGAAAATTCAACCAAATGTTTGTAATTTCGAATATAAATACCGTCGGTATTATTTTTTGGCTGAAAATTACTATACGAGTGTGTTAGAGAGAAAGACATTTTTAAATTTGACACAGTTTTAAATAAAATTTAAAATGAGAGATGTTTTATTAACAACGAGAAGAATTCAGTACAACGCTTAATGAAGCGTTTATCTAGGTGCTTTTTTTTCACTCGTCAAGAAGAAACAAACAAAAATTTCAAGAAAGCAAAAGAGGTAAGGGGCTGACCACATCTATAAAACCCAAAAAACTAGCACTAAAGGTTTATTAGAGAGTAACAACATTTAGACTTTTGGTGTGTGTGTGGGGGGGGGGGTTAATTTTTTAAACTAAACTGCTCAGATCTCTTATCTACAACGTGGTCTCGACAACTGAAACTACCATGTCTGAAAAGAACTCATATGGATCACGATCAACCCATAAGTTTTTTCCCTGGCTAACTACTTTAACCATCTTAAGATATTTTAACAGCTTCAATACACACATAGATACACTGTGACAAAATAATCTATTCTAAAGCAAACATTGAAGGAATATTCAATGGACTGTTAAATTTTGAGGACTGAAGAGAAGCATGTCGCTTCAGTAAGTAAGAAAAGCAGATATAGCTTTATTATTTAAAAGGATTTCACATATGATTAAACCAATAAGATAGAGTACATTGGCTGGTTTCAGTACAGAACGTTGGATTGAAGGACAGCAATTCAAGTTGTTACACTGTTTGTAGCACACAGAGGAAAACGGAGATTCAAAAGAACTACAGTGAGAAGAAATGTGAGAGGGAGAGAGAATAGTGACTTGAAAAACAAGAGAGTTTAATAGGTATGGGAAATCATAGAGTGAATGCATCTGAGCCATTGCAAATGAAGATTTTCAGCCATATCACTGGTTGTCTCCAGACATTGATTCTTCGAATTCCGGCGATGCTAACCAGGAGGCTTACACCTCCCTATGTGGCTCAAACTAATTGTTGTAGATTTCATGGACCAACTCCGAGTGTTGGGTTGGCCCCCACTAGCTCTTTTTGAACCTGATCTTACGTCAGGTAACATTGCCCGTCGAGGAAGACGATGGCTGGTTATGCGTAACACATGTCCTAACTGTCTCAATCAATTTAGCCTCACAACTTCATCGATTGATATTCCCTCCTCACCTAACACTCGACGCCTAACCTCTATATTACTCACCCTATAATAACCACCTACCATGGGAGACAGAAGGCAGGAGCACACCCTGAAGGTTTAAGGATGATGGCAGTCAATAATAATAATAATAATGAGGCGAACAGTCTTCAATATTTTTGCTGGATGTAGGTCTTTGAAATGAATTTTTAAACTGACCGTACAGGTTTTACCCAAAAGCTGAATAATATGGCCCAACATTTGAGAGCATCTCAAACAAACTTCAAACCTTCATTAACAACTGTCTCCGCTCAATACTCAAGATCAGATGGCCAGAAAAGATCAGCAACAGGGATCTCTGGGAGCGAACCAATCAGGAACCGATTGTGAGACAAATAGGCAGAAAGAAATGGAGATGGATTGGCCATACGCTGAGGAAACCATCAAGTGACATCACTAGACAAGCCATCGCTCGAGTGGAACCCGAAAGGGAGGCGGCGAGTTGGTCGTCCAAGGGTGACTTGGAGGAGGTCATGCGAGGAGGAGATGAAAGCATGTGGACAGACCTGGAGCAGGGTGAAAAAGTTGTCAGAAGACCGAAGGCAATGGAGGTGCGCAGCTGAAGCCCTATGTTCCTCTAGGAACTAAAGGATACAATAATAATAATAATAATAATAATAATAATAATAATAATAATATGGTCTAAAGCCACATTTTAATCCGGAAAATACTTAATGTATTGTCAGTGATACATAGACAAGTGAATTTAGGTACTCTGAAAAGGAATAATTAACGAAGATAAATGAAAAACTCCACTCAAACTGAGGCTCTCTCAGACAAAAGCTGTTTTCCCACCTGTGATTTTTAGGCATATATTACTCACTTTTTTAAATGGCATAACACAAAATAAACTTGATAAATTATTGCACTGTTCAATTTCATTTCCAATAAATGTACGACCAGAGAGTGTTTTTGATTTGAAAATACAATTGTCCACTACTCTTTTGAGAGAAGAAGAAAAGCGATTTGAATACAATACAAAATACACTGACATACTTTGGTTCAGAATCTGTGGAAAATCCAATTTTTAAAGATCCACCACCCATATCAAGTATTAGTGTAGGAATTGTCATTGTAATTTACTACATATGAAAAAAGTAGCATTAGCCAAAAAAGAGTGATTCACTATTGTTTATCAAGAAGTGTAATTAAAGTATGAAGTAAAAACGCTATATGGGAATATACAGTTTATATAGACCACAAATTCACATCAAGGGATACCTGTAACACATTAACTGATCGAGAAAATGATGACCACTAGGGAAACAGGACAGAAATGAAATAAAAGAGCCAATACGTGACTCGGTGACTCCTTTGTTATTCATGGAGGTTAGTACTTACTTTTCTTGGTATAAGGTGGTAAATACAGTTTTCCTGAACACTCAGAAATTATCTCAGGAATGTATTTTGCCTGTCAAACACAAAATGATAATGCATTATTGGTTTGCCAGTTAAAGGATAAGCAGTGAATTGGTTGGAACCTTCGATCAGATCAACTGTTTTGGTTACAGTGATATAATAAGAAAATTTGTGGCACTGTGGCAGAGAGTGACTTCACATCAAAATGATTTTGTGTGATATGATACACATTACATTTTGAGAAGTAGTCTGCTTGGTTCTACCTTTTTAGAAACAGTTACTGAAAGCGAACAGCATGAAGAGATTACAAGCTTTTGGCTGTACGGTATCTAAATACTGTCATCAGAAATCCAATTAACATCTAACTACTGAGACTTCTCACACTCGTTTGATGTATTAAGTAAAATGAAATGAATGTCACTTTTGGGAATTAAAAGGGAAGTAGTCCGTTTAATTATGCGTATCAGGAGAACACACTGTGGGTCACAGCCGATACAAATTGCTGAACCTTAGTGGCTCAAGCATTTTTGGCAACAAATACTGTTACAAATATATCAAAGGGATTTGTCAGGTATCTTCAAAAAAGTTTTGTGTTAGAAATGATTGAGAAATCTATCGCTGGTGAGATGTTGTATATGTACGCAGATAGTCCAAATATTTTCTTGAATTCATAATGTCATAATTAATTTGGAGTTTTATTGCATATGACAAGCAACATTGAGATACATAAGATTTTATCGGGAGAAAATAACTGATATATCGACTTTTTCTAAAAATGAAAAACCATTCCAGTCATGCTAGAGCACATCGTTCGGCTCATTTTTTCAGTGTTGCAGTTGTATGTGTTTTGTTTCAACACAAGCAATTTTTCTATATTCGCTTTAGTAAATCAAATGATAAGAACTAGTTATATAAATCATGATACATACACGTTAACCCAAAACCCAGACGTTTTAATCTAACAACAAAAATTTTCAAACTGAAAATGTGGTTTCTGCAACTTAAATGTAACACATAAATCAACCTACATTAAAAGGTAGTGACAACTCCAAATGACAGTAGCGTAATAATTTGAACCAATAACCATATTCTATGTCCAACAATCTTGTGCACCTAAATACAATGTTTCATACTGTCACTAAAAGCATATAGTGCCTCAAGGCTGTGTTGAAAGAGGAGGAACCCTTTTAATTTTTTCTTCAGATCAGTGTGCCAAACCCTCTCCAACTTGGTGCGTCGGTGGCACAGCAGTTAGGAAACTCGCCGACTATGCACATGGCCTAGGGTTAGATTCCCGGCCGACGCACACCTGATATCAATGGTCGGCCTGCCAAATTTGGGCTACCGATATCACATACTGAAAATTGCATACTTGTACCGAAATACTGTGTGGAATCAAGCTGCAATAAAAATAACAAATATCATTTTGACATCTATAAAACACAAAATAATCAACCAAAGAATATTCTTTTTTTTAGATTTACACCTTGATTCCACACTGTATTTTTGGTACAAGTATGGAATTTTCAGCATGGATATCGGTAGCCCAAATTTTGCAGGCCGACCATAGATATCAGGTGTGCGCCGGCGTGGGCTCGAACCCCGGACCATGTACATGGTCGGCGAGAGTCCTAACCACTGTGCCACCGACGCACATTCACACCACGATACACCCATTGACTGGGCATTGGTTTTCAGGAGAACCAAACACACGCATCCCCGCCTCTTGCGAGACGAGAACGGCATGCAGGATCAACCTGTGGCGCAACCACTCGAGAGCCCTCTCCGATAAATTCCTCTTCTGGCTCTACAGTTTGATATATGTTTATATACACAAAATATTCAAGATTGGTAGTTAATATCAATATCGTTGTTTTTTAAATAATATCGATTTGTAAGGTATGACCGATGCAATTACAGTTCACTAAAAATAATTAAATTATACCATCAGTAAAGATATAATAGCGAATGGAATATCATCTAAAATTAGGAAATTTCCACGAAATTGAGGATCATTCAAACCTATATGGCCAAGGTAAGGTAATTGCATTGGTCATAACTTACAAATCGATATTATTTAAAAAACACCGATATTGATATTAACTACCAATCTTGAATATTTTGTGTATATAAACATATATCAAACTGTAGAGCCAGAAGAGGAATTTATCGGAGAGGGCTCTCGAGTGGTTGCGCCACAGGTTGATCCTGCATGCCGTTCTCGTCTCGCAAGAGGCGGGGATGCGTGTGTTTGGTTCTCCTGAAAACCAATGCCCAGTCAATGGGTGTATCGTGGTGTGAATGTGCGTCGGTGGCACAGTGGTTAGGACTCTCGCCGACCATGTACATGGTCCATGTACATATATCAAACTGTAGAGCCAGAAGAGGAATTTATCGGAAAGAATATTATTTGGTCGATTATTTTGCGTTTTATAAATATCATTTCGCCAGCTCACCATTCAAATATTGAGTTTGAAATACAGTCGCTGTTGAATGGAAACAGAGTAGCCCTAAATAGTGTGCATCAAAGCTGGCTACCCACTTTTTGGAGCTGCATTCGTGTTTGTGAGCATGCAGATTCTAATAATCGCTATAGTAGACGTAATAACCGGATAGTTTGAGTACACATTTCTCCTTAAAACACTCTTAAAATTTATTCTATAGAGGTGTTCTTTTCTGGACAAATTTTTAAATAGTTCGGAGTTTTTGTTACAGCTTTATTATAAGGTAATCCGCTGGATAGACAGGTACCAGGGCAGGTCGAATGTAGGAACTCTGGTTAGTGGTTGAATCAAAATAACACCTTCCAGCGTCTTACACTGGAAGCAGCAGCGGCCAAAGCTCTTTTGGAATGGGGATCAGTCTTCTGCAGGATTATTGCAGTAAGATTGAGCTCAAAAGACGTAAAAGGTATAACTTTCAATACTATGGGACCACAAACAACTCAGAACGAGAGAGTAAGGGAGATTTCTATTTACAACTGCAAACAGTAATGGACAACAATGGAGACATCGAGATCCTTATGGGCCCTATGAATGCTAAACTAGGAGCAGATAATGCAGGAAAAGAATTAGTCATGGATAGGAAACCTACTGGCAAAATGAAGGGAAACGGAGGACTCTTCAGATACTTCTGTGCCTTCAGTGATTTGATGATTGAAGGTAGCGTGTACAAGCACTAGGATTTACAAAAAGGCGACGTGGATTTCACCTGACAGATACATCAAAAACCAGCTGGACATCATGACAATCTGAGGAAAGCGAAGAAGTGGTCTGATAGACACTAAGTCGATAAGGGGAGCAGATGTAGGCTCAGACCATGACCTAGTGAAACGAACCATCAGGATCAAGCCGAAAACCTTCTAAACTACCTCAGATAGACCACAATTCAAGCTGAGCACCCAGAAACTAAGGGGTGAAACTAAAAAAGACACGTTCGCTGCAGCCGTTTGAGCATAGTTGAAGTCACTATGTAGCAACACTAAGGAAACCTATTTGGAAGAACACTAGGACTGTTTGAGGGTGACGTCCAAGGAAACGTGTATGACCGTTTCAGGAAGGAAGAAGAGGTAAGACTAGGGACATATCTCTACGGTCACCTGTTAGCTAACAGAAGAGACGCGGGTGGTGAGGTGGAAGACTGGCCAATGCAAACATGTACAAAAGAGAGGGTGAGTTCAGTGTACATTGCGGTGAATAGAGAAGTGGATAAAAGTTCTACGATCCACGACGGGAAACCCAGTGAGGCCTTTACAGTGACGACAGGAAACTGGCTACTATCACCTGTGATATTCTTAATTATGGTGGCCTAGATTATGCGGAAGGCCATGAGTGGGGATCAGTAAGACAGAATTACATTGAACCTATTAGATTACTCCAGGAGATCTCATATTCGCGGATGATTTGTGTCTCACATCACAAACTCGAAAACCTGAAGACGAAAACCAGCAAGTTAGCAGAGGAAGCAAGCAGCAAGGACAGGACTTCAAGTGGGCAAAGGAAAGATGGAGGCGATGAAGATAAACAAATAACCACAACAATAACAAGCTCCAATTACTATCAACGGGAGTACTTTGAAAGAGATCGCTTCCTTCACTCATCTAAGCAGAATCCTTTCAATTACAGGCGGCAGCATGGATGGCGATGTCAAAACCGGAAGCAGACAGGCAAGACAGACCTTAAATCATTGGGCTGCCAAAATTACTCTTCTCCAAAATGCTCAATTTCATCTGGATTTATCATTGTTTTAATCGTCCAGTTATATCAAATGACCTATACATAAACTTGCGAGATGATTTAACTTGCTCCCAAGTAAACGCTGTACAATTCTTCAACGAAATGAAGATATACTTCCGGTTATTACTTTACATGTGAATCCTGTGTAAAGAAGAAAGTACTTTGGAGCTGAATACGTTGAAAATTTTTGTACCGTATATTCGCATACTGTCTTAAATAAAGCTTTACCATTATTATTATTATTATTAATCACCTTGGAATCAGTTTGGAAATCTGATGCATTCCGCATACACAGAAAATTTCGGGCTTTCAACGCCAATGTTCAGGCAGCAACTGCAGAATTTTATCCATAATTACCTTCACCGTCTCCATACTGAAGACCAGATTGCCATAAGGAGGGATTAGAAAGAAGACGCAGTGGGAACAAACCAACCAAGAACTTATTGTTCAACAGATATATGGTAGAAAATGAAAATGGATTAGGCACACGCTGAGAAGACCGTTGGGTGAAATTGCTCTGCAGGCACTGCCCTCGAATGGAACCCAAATGGGAAATGGATGGTTGGGCGTAGGCACGAGGTCGACATGGAGGATAACGTGTGAGCATGATGTGGGAGACTGTGGTTAGTCATGAGGCCAGCTAGAGAGGACTGTGAAGGATATGACGGAGTTTAGACGTCCTGATGAAGCCCGGTATTTTCCTCGGAAACCTACGGAACGATGATCATAATAATAATAGCACGCCCTTTGAATTCAACGTACCTTCTCCCCCCTAACCAGAAAATATCCATTTTGTGAATTATTCGCCTGGGAAACCTGATCTTTCCAGCCAGTGGATCGCATTCGACCGTAAATTCCACAGTGAATCTTTGTGCGATAAGTTTAGCTTTTCGAACTGCTGCCAAAGCTTCAGGTCCCACTTCTGTAGCAGCATCTTTCCCACTCTGTCTGATAAACAAGACTTATTGGTCTGTCACGAGATTCCTATTAAGCCGAAAAGCCTGAAAATTCTGTGTAATGTCGGAAGAATTGTTTTCTTATGATTTATTAGTCTTTTTGTTCATCTTCTATTTGGCGGACGCGCTTTCTATCTGTTATTGGCGTTTAAGCATAATCAGTAATAATCGGCGATATGACAGTTGAAACTGGCCTTAAAAAGGGCACTGAGACATCACATTTTGTGGTGAACAGGGCTCGAGCCAGGGGAAGAAATAAACCAGCTGTATTAGCGCTGCCAAGCTTTCTGGTTCTGAGGAACCGCATACATATCTTCTACCCTTATGATGTCTAATTTAACAGAGTTGGTCACTGGAACTGAATAGAAAAAACAAAGTTGAGGACATACCGCGCCAGTATTGATAACGAGCCATTTTGCCAGAAAAACAAAAGCTAAAATATGTTAAGGACATCATAAGACATCGAAAGTACTTTCTGGTAAAAAAAAGGCGAGCAATAGATTTGAAATGTTGTTGTCAATCAAGTCTGATAAACCGTTAATGCCCGGCTCTTGCTACGCTGGGCCTCACGCTGTCCCTCGAAGATTTTCAGAAACGCTTAGTATTAACCGACACAAAAACCAAAACACTGTTTGGCGACTCAGGAGTTCTTTATTCTAACGCCAACATGTAACCAGCAATACTGGTATTACAGACTAAGGTTTCCGACAGTTTTTTGATCTTCTTTCTGAACAGCGACCGATGAGACGATGACTGGTGTATTGATGCCTCGGCGAAAATTGGGGAAGTTGGTTTTGAGCAAACAACCATGAATTGATCGTTCAATCTTCAACTACATTGATACTCCCCGTCAAAAAAGGGATCCATTCCTTTTTTCCATCACGAC